GGCTTGGCAACATAAATTTCAATCAGTCTGTGCATTAATCAAGACTTCAGGATGGTTCTATTTGGTTTGGTTTGATGTCTATGGTGGGAGAAATAAAAGATTTTCATGGTTTAAATGAATCTCTGCCCAAACTTCTATGGAAGATTTCCCCTCGCCTAACATCTGACTCAGGTGCATCACACTGGGATTTACTGATCAATTACTTAGCCATGGGCACAGACTACATGGCTAGCACAACAGAATTAGGCTGTCATGTTATCCTAGCCCTGCCACACCCCCAACAGCAAGAAATGCCAGAAGCACAAGCCTCCAAAACTAGAATAGAAACCCCAAACTTCTTAAGCTGCAGCATCAAAAGGAACACACCATTACTAGCGTAACCATCAATCCCCTTACCACCACTTTCTCGGTCGTATTACTAACAAAAGAACAAAAGGACTTTTAAAAATCAAAATCAATCAAGGGCTGGGATGCAGACAAAAATCCAATAAAAAATGGGAATTCTGGGGGCCTGATGTGGGGAAATCTTTGTTTTAAAGGTTTTTGAAAGAAAAGATTCCCAGCAACACAGATATACCATACTTACTTACACTGAAGTCCACTGTGATTGCAACAAGACTCTAGGAGCCTAGAATTCTGAATGCTCTCAGGCCTTCTGGCTCTACCTGGGACTATCAGCTTCCCTTTAGCCCACCTCCATCATGACAGATTGGTGAAACTATTAATCCTGACAAATTCTATCTGCCTCAGACAGGTTCCATTTCCTTCAAAGATAACAAGGTAATATTTAGCAACAAACCCCAGTAATTTTTCCTGTTTTTAAATACCAAACCAAAAATTTAAAGGAAGTTATATGTTTGCCTCTAAATGCATGCATATTTTAAAGCAGTAGGCAACTCCAGGATTTACGATAATCTTCTTCCATCATCTTTCTGTCCTCCCTCAAAACAAACAAACAAACAAACAAACAAACAAAAAACCCCACTTACTCTACCTACAGGTCTTGATACTGAATAGGGACAAGTAAGAGGTTGCCAACTAAGATCCCAAAAGGTCCTTAGTAGGGGATGTACTCACATCCATAAAATCTAGGGCCTCCATCCTAAAAACTATCACTTTTTGATGAACGAGAGGATATCTTCCAAGTAGCGGTTAAGACTGGCAGCAACAAGGTTTATTTGAACATACTTCCCCAAAGCACCTCTGTACAACAACTCTGGTGCTGGGTTATGACAATTTTTAAACTTGGGCATGACTAACTAAACATTTGGCCTTTTAGTATAAAAGCGAAATCAAGCTCCATCTGTACTACAAACGAATAGGAAATTCCATGTACATTTCTGTACACGGGCTTCTCCAAGTGGGAAAATAATTCTCCTTAATCCGCAACACATATTAAGAGCAAACTTTCAGGTAAAGGAATGCAGGTAACGATGGCACCTAGGCTCTGCTGATTGACTCACATAATCTGCTTAAACCCATTTACAGAGGGAAGAAATGGTGGGATTAGATTTTACTGCTCCTTTGATATGGATAGTACCCTCCAGAAGTTGTACTGCCACCTTATGTCAAAGGCATATGTATGCAGAATAAAACTGTTCTAAAATGAAACCAAGAAAAAGTTTAATTCAGAAAGAACATGGGTTTCTGTTTAGTCCTCTTAGATAAACACCAAAAAAATGATACAAAATTTCATCAACAGGAACTGTGTGTTCCACCAATTTTAAGATAAACACCATTACCTTCTTTGGTTCCACTGCCTGAACCTTTTGAACCCAAAAAGAGGCCAAGTCAGCAAGATGGCTGGTGATCTAGAAGGAACTGTACACTCTGGGTACTATGATACTGCATTATTGCCCTCTATTCCAGATGCATCAAAAATAATTACTCTTGATTGCACTGGTGCTTCTCTGGGCAATTTTTCTTGCCCACAAATCTGTTATAATGGTACTGGGAAAATACAATTTAAGCATTTCCCATTTGTTAGTATATAAGAGGCAGGCCAAGTGACCTAGAGAGCAGAAAGGAACCAAGAGTTCAAAAAGGAGATGCTTTTCCTTCTACATTTTCACATACAACTCTTTCCTAATCGTGGCTGCTCTAATCCAATTGACTCTAATGCTTTTCTCCACGTGGAACTAAAGTGGTTACTTCAGGGAAGAATTAATCCAGATCCTCCTGCCTGGCAAAGGTTTTTGGAACATTTTTTTCCTTCCCATCAGAGGGTGGCTGATTTCAATGAGGGCATTTACAGTATCCCAAGCGGGGGAAGGGAGGGAGGGTGGGTTTATCAGATTCTCCCCCTGGAAGTTTTGGAACCAAGTTCCTGCAGAATAGTAACTCTGAAATCTAGGGTCACAGACCCTCTAAGAATCTGATTAAATATTATTCACAGAATAGTGTACAAGCAACAAAATTCCACAAGCCAGCCTATGGACCATGTTAAGAGCTTCTAGACTATAGACAGACTTTGGAAAGGTTCAAGGTCAGTAGCAGAAGCAGCATCCTTGAAGTCTAAAACAGGACCTCTCCCTTACTTTCTTAACCAGAAAAGGAAAATGATGGGAGTACTAAGGCAGGCTCATTCCTGAGAACAGGCAACTTTGGCTTGGGTACTTCTCTTTGGGCTGGGAAAACTGTCTTAGACCCTGCCTGTCAAATCTTCCCTTCCCCTCTGCTTTCAGAAGTGTCAGACCTGCCCTGTGGTCTGAAGACTCTACTGGCTCTCAGGAGTGTCCTGCTGTCTCCTCACTTCTTTATACTTCCCAGGTATTTTCCCCAATAAAACTCATACTTCTAATCCCATTTTGGAGCCTGCTTCCAGGAAGACTCAAACTATACACCTGCAGCTGCTGCCATTTTCACAGCACCTTTACACAGACAGCATCTTGAGAAAGAGACCTTGAATTCTTCCAGTCCTCACTCCAGTACCACACTCCAACACACAATCTATACCCCTTAAGACAATGACTTCTTAGCTTTGCCCCATAGGATTAAGGCCCTCGAAGCCAATAGACCAATGATGTTTCACAGAAACCATGGGTACAGGTTTGAGATTTCTGCTTTCAGGTGTGATATAAGGTCCACTACAGATAAATGCCAATGTAAGAGAAACTGGCACGGAAGGCAATATCAATAAGGCACGATGTGGAAGAGGTCTTACCTTTGTCAGGCCTAAAAATATGACCGTGACTCATGCTAGAAATATTTTTCACACTTACAGAACACTAAACATGGAGCCGTACAGCCCTAGCCAGGTGGCTCCCTTGATTGGAGCACCATCCCATATACCAAAAGGCTGCAGTTTTGATCCCTGGCCCAGGCATGTATAGGAAGCAACCAATCAATGTTTCTCTCTCACATCCATATCCCTCTCTCACATCGATGCCCTTCTCTCTTTCTCTCCCCCTTCCTCTCGCTCTAAAATTAACAAACATATCCTCAGGTGAGTATTTAAAAAAAAAATTAAACATGGAGCTGCACATTCATAACCAAGCTCTGAAAAGTGATGACACTATTCAATAGGGAGGAAGATAGAGTTAAGTCAAGTAAAAAGAGCCAAAGCAAAATCATATTCCAAAGTTTAACAGACCTTTTGTATTCACTAGACAAAGTCCAACAACTGTATGTGACTCGAAGTCAGTTCTTAAGTATGTCAGTAGAAGCTATTAAGTGCACAAATAAATGTTCTATTACTTGAATGCCACATTACCCAATCCCAGAATCAACTGAGGCTTCCAGCTGATGGGAGTAGGTGAGATTTTGAGATAAATACACGGGATTGTGTCAAAATTCAGCCATGCTGTTATCACTTGTCCTACACCATTTCTCTTCCACTATTAAGGCTTAGGGAATGCAGTATTAAATTACTGTATCAACCTACCTTTTTCTCCTGTGATAAAAATATTATTATAAAATAGGACAGAGGAGGAGAAATCTTTCAGAGTTCCTCTGAAATTCTCAAAAAGAAAAATAACCAAATCCTTTGCAAGCTTTTTCCCCCCTCTATTCTTGGTCTGTGATGTTAAGCTCTTAGTGACAAAGAAACCAAATCCACTTATCTAGTTTACTAACACAGTGAATGCAAATTGCAGTCATACTTCCATTTTAACAAAGCATGACAACAAGGTGATTGAGTAGCTTCACAAACTACCAGAGCAGAGGGCACTAACTTGTATAGGCTGGCGTTAGATCAGTACTTTATAAATCGTGCAGGCTCCTCATCATTTAGATGGTCTTTCTATGCAGAATCTGCAGCCCAGCACTGGCTCTCACAGGCATTAAAAATCATCACTCTGCTAACCCAACTCACTGTTCAGACGGGTCTTCTTGAATGCAGCCTTTATTACCACCTCACTGCTGCTTCCTACACTGAAGGAATACCATGTTTTTAAGTCAGGAGTTCTTCTTTCTTTCATTATTGTAACCGGGGGTCTTACAATGACCCGATACTGTTACAAAGCACGGTGCTTTATAACAGTAAAGCTTCTGGAAAACCCAAACAAAAGACACGTCACCCGGTGACGTCAGCCTATATACAGTTCTGTGTGGTCGCAGCACATAAGCAAATCCATTCTTGTGCCATTTCTCGGAAAAGCTTTTCAGTAAATGCACTCATGCTGCTCCAGGAGCTCTTCTCTGCAACAAGCCTCCCATCTGCCATCAACAAGTTAAGACTGAGAGAACTAACAGCTGCGAAAAGGAAAGACTGATGCTTTGATTAACCAGCTGAGCAGTTAGAGGAGGGCAAAATTAATAATTTACATTCAAATGTGATTTAAGGGATCAGAGCGGTCACAGAAAATGAAACCAATGCTTTTGAAAGGAATATCCTAAGGAAAAAAACAACTCACCCTGGTGGATTCAATTTTGCTCAAAAAGCCTGGGACACACAAAACAGGAAACTGGTCAAAGGCTCCTGCATGTTAGAGCCTTTTACAGACTCGCTGCGTTGAGTCTAACAACCGCGACTGAATGCAGGCTCCAATGTGCTCAGAAGAATGGGTAAGTCTATGCATTTATGTGTCTTGTACAGTCAGCGAGGAATCATGCTTTTTAAAATAAACCACTGAATTCATTTGTTATAAAGGGAATCACTGTCATGTTTCTGTATATTGACATTTAGGTTAAAAGCATATATTGCAGATGACAGGGTATGTTTTATCTTCATAACGGTTTAAGTTTTATTCCAGTCATACTAACAAGGTTTTTCTGCAGTAAATGAAAAATGAATTATATGCAGTGAAATATTTCACCATAACATTATGTGAAACCACTGTGTTGTTGTTTTTTTTAATAGCTCATATATTCTGCTGAAAAATATCCTATCTTCTTGTTTTCCTTCAATTATATTCTGCAGGCTTACATTTCAAGTGGCCGTTAGGGGCCCCTATGCTGGCAGCAATATATGCAATGAGTATGGTTTTAAAAATGCTGCCTGCCCTGGGAATGGCGTGTCCACCCAAATGCCGCTGTGAGAAGCTGCTCTTCTACTGCGACTCTCAGGGCTTCCACTCAGTGCCAAACGCCACAGACAAGGGCTCCCTGGGCCTGTCCCTGAGGCACAATCACATCACAGAGCTTGAAAGAGATCAATTTGCCAGCTTCAGTCAACTTACCTGGCTTCACTTAGACCACAATCAAATTTCAACAGTAAAAGAAGATGCTTTTCAAGGACTATATAAACTTAAGGAATTAATCTTAAGTTCCAACAAAATATTTTACTTGCCAAACACAACTTTTACCCAACTGATTAACCTGCAAAATTTGGACCTGTCTTTTAATCAGCTGTCATCTCTGCACCCAGAGCTCTTCTATGGCCTCCGGAAGCTGCAGACCTTGCATTTACGGTCCAACTCTCTGCGGACTATCCCAGTTCGCCTATTCTGGGACTGTCGTAGTCTGGAGTTTCTAGATTTGAGCACAAACCGTTTGCGAAGTTTGGCTCGTAATGGATTTGCAGGATTAATCAAACTGAGAGAGCTTCACCTAGAGCACAACCAGCTGACGAAGATTAATTTTGCTCATTTCCTACGGCTAAGCAGTCTGCACACGCTCTTCTTACAATGGAACAAAATCAGCAACTTGACATGTGGGATGGAATGGACCTGGGGCACTTTAGAAAAGCTAGACCTGACTGGAAATGAAATCAAGGCTATCGACCTGACAGTGTTTGAAACAATGCCTAATCTTAAAATACTCCTAATGGATAACAACAAGTTAAGCAGCCTTGATTCCAAGATCTTAAATTCCCTGAGATCCCTCACAACTGTTGGTCTCTCTGGCAATCTGTGGGAATGCAGCCCTAGAATATGTGCTTTGGCCTCCTGGCTGGGCAGTTTCCAAGGTCGGTGGGAGCAGTCCATCTTATGCCACAGTCCTGACCACACCCAAGGAGAGGATATACTAGATGCAGTTCATGGATTTCAGCTCTGCTGGAATTTATCAACCACTGTTACAGCCATGGCTACAACTTACAGAGATCCAACCACTGAATATACAAAAAGAATAAGTTCATCAAGTTACCATGTAGGAGACAAAGAAATCCCAACTACTGCAGGCATATCAGTTACTACTGAGGAACACTTCCCCGAACCAGACAATGCCATCTTCACTCAGAGGGTAATTACGGGAACAATGGCTTTATTGTTTTCTTTCTTTTTTATTATTTTTATAGTGTTCATCTCCAGGAAGTGCTGCCCTCCCACTTTAAGAAGAATTAGGCAGTGCTCAATGATTCAGAACCACAGGCAGCTCCGATCCCAAACACGACTCCATATGTCAAACATGTCAGACCAAGGACCATATAATGAATATGAACCCACCCATGAAGGACCCTTCATCATCATTAATGGTTATGGACAGTGCAAGTGTCAGCAACTGCCATACAAAGAATGTGAAGTATAATATCTACCCATCATCAAAATTACATCAGATAAGTAACCTATTTTACATAGTAGGGGCTAAATAAATATCTAATTTTTAACAACAGTGACATTAAGCCTAATTTTCAAAACCAAGTGGAGACTTAAGTTTTTGAAGTATTGAAGTGTTTTTAATTTTTTAATGAAATCATATTTTAAGTGTGAAATGAAGCAATGCTCACATTAATTTGCACTCTTGTTGGGAAGTCTAAAAATGCTTCAAAATAAGACATTTCATGTATGTGATTATGTATTACTGAGTGTAAACATTTACACTAAGGTCTCCATATGTTATTTTTTCCTACTGAGAACGGTTTGGAAAGAAGCTACTGAGCAGAAAAAGATATGGATCAATACTTGTTTGATCATCGCTTTCCATCCCACGTACCACCACTGGCTTGCTGCTTAAAAGGAAACTTAGCAAAGTTCTCTTGTATGATAATTTGGTATTTACTCAAATCTACAATTTATTGCCAGTGTGGGAAGTATAATTTCATGTATGCTGAAGTCTGGTAAATATTAAATACTCTTCTTCTAGCGTTTTTGCCTGGGTTAATAGATATTATCAAAGTCCACATCAAAAAAATCAAGCCCTTTATGTAATTCTAATAAGCTAAGTGACTCTTTAATATATTTAAACAATGAATCCAAGTGATTGGAAAAGGTCTCATTACAATGAAATCAATACTAAATTATACTGACTTTGCATCATACATCTCTAGTTTGACATATAATTTAACATGTTGATTTTTGTGGCACTTAGACTATTATTTTAAACTATTATTATGTTACCACTTTACTAATTAGTTTACTAAATCTTATATTTACATTTATATGTAAAAAGATTTAGAATACAGTTTGGAGAGAAAAGAGAGCAACTGAGTCACCTTAATCCTATGATTTGCTCCCTCTGGTTGGAAAGCACACACAAAATTCCCTCTCTCCACTGTCATGATCAAAGCTGCCTTGAAAAAGGGGTTTAAACCTCTTCCTTTTGCCTTTTCCTGATCCTTGAACCTCAGAGCCAAATCAAAAATAATTGGCTAGCATCAGGCATAACACTAATTCTTACTAGAATATATTATAAAGGAACCGTTAAAAAATCACTTTCTAGTATTATATGCTAAAACCTGATCTTTTGATAAAGATACATATTCACAATCTAAGAGCAGTCCCTTCTAAGTGAAGGGAATAACATATTACTGAAGCAAATCTTTCTGTGGCAGAACAATCCATCTACATGCTTATGCAGCCACACAGTGGTAACTCAAAGGTGGCACAGAGGTGAGGGCATGAAAGGGAAAGGCAGCATTTTGAAATCTGACTCACAAAAACAAGTTAGCTGAAGTTAAGAGGCAGCCAAGAGTGAGGCAAACGGGTAGCTGTATACTATCTACAGGCCCTAGGACCTGCAACTGAAAAGGGGAGGAGGAGGAAGTTCTCTAGTGTTAATATAAACATTCTGTAATTAACAAATGATAATGATATCACACTTTTCCTGTAGGAAAGAGCCACAAGTCTTACGTTTCTTCAATTATGATTTATATGGAGAAATTATAACGTATTTGGAATTCAGATGAAAACTACCAATTCACAGAGAATTTTTCCATAAACAAAGTTCTATGTATGTAGCAGCAAAAAACAAGACATTAGACTGCTGACTTGATTTTAGAAGAATGAGCATTTCACAAGTGACATTTACTGTATGTGAAAAAGAAAAACCACTACCATAAAAGAAAAAAGTTATCTTTTCCTTAACATGACATCCCTTCATTCACAGCATATTTTCTTCATTGGACTGAATTGAAAACATGTTACGACTACAGTTCAACCCATGAGGTTTAACTGCAATTTTTTCTTTTTAATATTAAGAGGGATGTCTACCTACATTTCAAAGAAAATGTGTCTCAGTAAAAAGCAGACAAGATCACATATTACAGTAAAAATGCACACTGAATTTTTTTAAGGTGGGTAAATTAGTTAGGCAAAGTCTCAGCCCAGTTGAGTTCAGCTGATCTTGAGCAGTGAGTATTTCATCTCTTGTTAAACCAGACCCTGGGTCTGCCTGAGCAGGGACAAAAGCTGATTTTATGGCATATAGCACAGCTCACTGCTTTCCTACAGAAGGGCTGGATCTGAAATCCCCATTACAATTGAGAGTTCCACAAGATAAAATTTACCAACTCATTTATCAGGGAAGCCACAGCCATTTGTCAGAGAAAAGCTTTGTCACAATACAGCTGTGTCCTGAACACACAAGATTCCACTAACCCTGAAGGGATAGTAAAGGAGTATTTTCTATCATTTCAACAACAATCCAAATTAATTGAAACTATGAGGACAAGGGTGAGAAGTACTGGCTGGGAATCCCCACATTAATCCTAAAGATTTCAGTGTGTAAAAGGGATCATCAATCAGCAAAATCCCTAATGAATGTAGAAAAGTAAATTGGAAAAGCAAGCCATTTAGTAATTCAGGGGAACAGCAGAGCCAAGGACGCCACAGCATACCTTCAAGTTAAAAAATAGCTGATTTTTTTGCCCTCCATTTTCTTGGTAATGCTCTCTGGGAAAAAAAGTGAGTAACAATGCCAAATAGCACGTTCCTTTTTTATTAAAGCTCAAACTTCCTTTTTGAATTGCCTATAGAGGATGGGAGTCCATTTAATTTTGGACTTGTGTTTTGGTATCAGCACAGGTTTGAAGATGAGACTGTTGGTCACATGTGCTCTCTCTACCAACTGGCTAGGGTGAAAGAGCATCACAGCCACACTGCAGATCCTGCTAAGGCAATGTTAGAGCTTTTTTTTTTCAGTTTAGTTTTTTTTTAATCCTCCTGAGCCTCCTCTCCCCACAACACACCCAGTCCCCATGCCCGACTTAAGGTTAGAGGAAAATAACCACTTACTAAGAACCAGAAAAATCTCTCTGTAAAGCTAAAGAAGCTTACGATACTGTACTCACCTAGTAACCAAAAGCTAGTTTGGAATCATTTATATTCATTTCTGTAGTTTGCCAGGGATTTCAATCACCTCTCTAAAATGAGAGTGAGCTGGTTAGTTGCAAATCCACAACTCAGATAGAATATCGACTGCCAACATCAAATCACAAAGATACTAATTTTTTAAGCCAAAAAAATCTGCTCTGACACATGCAATTTCTTAATGCACCGAAGTTAATTTCTGTACCAATTTAATGAATGGAATTGACTGAACTTCCCAACTCCACTAATTATTAAAATCCACCTGCTTATTCTGATGCTAGTCACCAAGAGCTAGACTCCATCTGTCCAATAAAAATGAGCCCCATGTAGCACGAGGTCTGAATCCTAAAATTGAAAAAGACATATTTTCTTAAGGCATACTTCCTACACAGAGCTATTGGATGGGTGGAGGGTGGGGGAGATAAATAGTCCATTCTCCCTCTAAATTGTAGCTATCAATATGAAAATGAAAAAAATATTTTTAGAGGCTGACTTATATGATCATTTTCCTAATAAAGCAATACAGTGACAGACCTGTCTTGAAAGTCTGTTTTGAGATATGCTTTTCCTATCTTATTGGTTAAAGTGCTTCAACCAGAAAAAAGACAAAGGTGATAAGGCCATCCATAGATAATTAAATATTTCTGTCCCTTAGCTAGGGAAAACTTGAATAATTTAAGGCAAAAACAAACAGAAAATGATGGTTTAAGCTTTCATCCTGTTATTGCAAACATTTGGAAACACCTGCTACTCCTTCAAGTAACCTGTTCTTCCTTGGTAATTAAAAAAAAAATTTCATCTATGGAATGTTTGTTTATCCTTTCTATCAACACAGACTGAAAACCAAAAGTACAGTCCAAACACATTGTGTTTAATTACCCTAAGAGCCATTGAGGGGCGGGGGCGGGCAAATGGGTTGGGGGGGTGGGAAGAAAATACTATTACACTGGGATTTCTGAGGGAGATGGTTAACAAAGTGCAGTGTACAGGAAAGTTTTGTTATTAAAATTGTGTATACTGAAAAAAGTGAATGTCTTTTTTTTTTTTTTAGCTTTTCTTGGTAACCTATTTTGATGTGAAACCTAAAAAACCATTTGTGACATATAGAAACCTTATTTTGTACCATGTTCTCTATAATGCCAAATGTGCCAGTCGAAAGAAGCACAGCTAACCATCACCCGTCTTCATGCAGAGACAGACAAAACTGGCAGGCTAAGAAGAAAGTAAAGGTAAGGGGAGCAAAGTGGAGCTGACTAAAAAGCTACCATGCCGATAAACAACTGTCATGCAATAAGAAGTTGCTCCGTCACAAGCCTTAGCAAGTGGACAAACAGCTGTCCACGGGGTTCCCAGGACCTAGGGTTGGCCACTGTCCCCCAACCTCCTTCACAGCAGACTATCACCACAGCCTGGGGAGCTTAAAAATGGCACTCAATTGCCTATCCCCAGCAAACAGCAACTTGGCTTCTACCTTGGGAGTCCACTGCAGTACATCCCAGAAGCACTTTGCACATCACTCCTGAGAGGGACAATCGCAGGTGCTAAACATCTGGGTTCTCTAGGATCCCTACATGACAAACTCTATACCAGATGCCAGGTCACTAAGTATGGATAGGGGAAAAGGGAAAGGAGATAGGGGCAAGGTTTTTAACTAGTGTCCCTCAACTGGCATAGATAAACATCCCCAGGACAAGATGCTATGCCTGGGCAGCAGTGGGGAAAGAAACTGCCCTGGCCTTTAGGAGGTGACTGTTGGGAGTCTGCCATACTTTCCAGAATGTACTGGCTGCTTCTCCAGGCCTAGAGCACAGCAGAGGACCAGACAGGCAGGAAGAAACAAGGCTACCCGCTTCTCCAACACCCAGGGATAAGGGAATCAGAGAAGCTAAGAGAGATCTCGCACCAAAAATCTCAGAAGTAACTAGGGCAGAGGCAGGAAGCACAGAACAAAATTTTACTGTCAGACCCATCCAGTATTCACTAGAGGGCATAGGTGATGAA